CAAGCACCAGGACCCACGCCAAGCCTTTCGCACGGCAACTGTAATGTCCAAAACCCGAATGCAATCCACCAACCATCCCCACGCACCTGCCCACGTGACCCCCGTCGTCGCGATGGACTCGCGACCTCCCACGCTGCGGCCTTTGCTATCTTGCGTTCGCAGCCGAGGCGATGGGTGCTTCGCTTCGCACACCTTCCAGCCAGCAAAGCATGCACGTACAAATCACCTCCACCGACGAGAACGAGAACGACAACGACAACGACAACCAAGATGACCAAATGCGACTCAGCAGCAGCGAAACAGAGCGCGGACAAAGGTGGTGACTAAAGGGGGGCGAAAGGCGGGGGATGCGACGCAGGCTGTGGGTGCGGCTCGGAGGAGGAGAGGGGCTCCGCGCGGACACCCAGACACGCAGCGAGCGAGCACGGGGAACGGGATGTGTTGAGAACGCCCTCCCTCTTTCCCTCGCTTCGTCCCTCTCTCCCTGGCGAGGACAGTTCCGGACGAGGATCCCGCGACGCAGGGAGGAGAGGGGAGGGCAGTTCTGGACGGAACGGGAGCGGGGAGGGGGGGGTCACCCACCCGGCCCGAGGGCCCCGACGCCCATTGCAACGGCATCTGACGGTTATTTGAGGAGGCCCGTCTGTTTCGTCATGGGAGTCTGTGTGGGAGATATGGTTTTGTTAAGGTGGAGTCCCCCAGTGGGCTCGCGTGGGTTCCATGGGCTGGGCTGAGCTGGACTGGGGTGCCTGCGTTCCCCGATAGATGGCTTGTGCATGGTTCCCCAAGAAGGGGGTGGCATGGCAGTTCGCTCTGGTTCCCGGGATGGCGCACGCGGGGGGAGCGCGGGGTTGGGTGGGGTGGGGGCTGCTTTGAAGTGCCGCCGATGGCGCAGATCTGAGCCTCTCGCTCGCATGGAACAGATTTGCTAAATTTGAGTGGTGTGACTTGTTTGTGCGTTGCGTTTGGTCGCGTTGCTCTGCGTTTCCTTTTGCAGGCTGCTCTGCTTTGCAGGGGCGATGGGCGGCAGCAGGAGAGTCAGGATGCTGCTGCATTACCACTAGTGTCCAGGATGCCCCAACCCCAACTGGTCTATTGGCACTTCTTCTGTGTACTGGGTGCTGCTGCTGCTCCCTTGTGTGTGTGTGTGTGTGCAGGAGGTATCTCTCTCTCTCTATTTGTTTTAGCCCTCCTTTCTCGCTTGCTTCCCGACGCTGGCGGATGGATGGATGCTTTCGCATTTTGGTCCCCTTGCGTTGCTGTACACTGTGGAAACATCTGATTAATTTATATGTACAGGGCTTTCTAGGTCCATGAGTTTTATGTTTGTTATTTTTAATTGTTTTTATTTGAAGTTTGCCGAATATTATCACGCTGGTGGGATGCTGTCTTGGAGGGCTTTGGTTGGACAGTTGTTCTTTTTATTGGTTGTATCGTTTGCAAACAATATTTAGTCGTGAAAGAGAAGAACAACTGATAATGTCGAACTGAGTTTGATACTGTCTTGTTTTTGGTTTAAAATGCCCACCCATGATATTTGATTGTGTATACATGATTTGATAGAACTGGTGAGGTGGTTGGAGTTGGTGTTGATATGTCCAGCATCTGTTGTGTAGGATGTGCCATTGTTTGTCTTTTGGATGTGTTCTTGAGTATATTAATTTTATAGTGTCATCTTCTATGCTATGATACAAAAGTTGTGGTGTATATAAAATTATTTCTTTAGAATATTTTATGAATTCTTTTGTGTACTTATTCATATACTATGTATTTACATTTATTGGTTCTCTATTAACTGTTTTTTGTATTTTAGATTCTTGTGATATTTTTTGAAGTTATTTTGGTCCTATGTTCATATATATATATATATATATATATATATAGTAGATGAACTTGTGTTGTTGTCATGGAAAGTATGATTCAAATAGGATGTGTTTGTGAACCAAAGAATATTTTTTAAATACACATGCAATACAAATAGAAAAAAATAAAATTCACATTGAGCTTTTAATTACAAAATAGGATAGGTAAAGCCGTGCCATTATCATGGATTATATGCAAAAATAAGTAATTTATTATTTTCAAGGAATTACTTGTGAAAATAAAAGAATATATTAAATTATATTAAAGAAATGATTGCATCCAATGAAAATTTAAACCTATTCAATGGATTTTTTAGGTAAATATGCTAGTAGAAGACTTAAGCCTTGCAACAAAGCTAATTTTCACGAATGTATTGTCAAT